GACTGCAGTTAAAGTTTAACCAATATCCTATATAGGGTCAGCATAAACTCTTTGCACTTGTACTCTGTGCCCCTATTAACGAAGCTAAGAACTGTATGCTTTTTAAAGAGCTCTCTCTAACTGTCTTGTCACGTTTAATGACTTAAGAACATACTAGAACAAAGAAAATTACAGCACAGGAACAGGCCCTTCGGCCCTCCAAGCCTGCGCCGATCCAGATCCTCTATCTAAAGCTGTCACCTATTTTCCAAGGATCTGTATCCCTCTGCTCCCTGTCCATTCATGTATCTATCTAGATACATCTTAAATGACACTATCGTGACCGCCTCTACTACCTCCGCTGGCAACGCGTTCCAGGCACCCACACCCTCTGCGTAAAGAACTTTCCACGCATATCTCCCTTAAACTTTTCCCCTCTCACCTTGAAATCGTGACCCCTAGTAATTGAGGCCCCCACTCTGGGAAAAAGCTTCTTGCTATCCACCCTGTCTATACCTCTCATGATTTTGTAGACCTCAATCAGGTCCCCCCTCAACCTCCGTCTTTCTAATGTAAATAATCCTAATCTACTCAACCTCTCTTCATAGCTAGCACCTTCCATACGAGGCAACATCCTGGTGAACCTCCTCTGCACCCTCTCCAAAGCATCCACATCCTTTTGGTAATGTGGCGACCAGAACCGTACGCAGTATTCCAAATGTGGTCAAACCAAAGTCCTATACAACTGTAACATGACCTGCCAACTCTTGTACTCAATGCCCCGTCCGATGAATGAAAGCATGCCATATGCCTTCTTGACCACTCTATCCACCTGCGTTGCCACCTTCAGGGTACAATGGACCTGAACACCCAGATCTCTCTGTACATCAATTTTCCCCAGGGCTTTTCCATTTACCGTATAGTTCGCTCTTGAATTGGATCTTCCAGAATGCATCACCTCGCATTTGCCTGGATTGAACTCCATCTGCCATTTCTCCACCCAATTCTCCAATCTATCTATATTCTGCTGCATTCTCCGACAGTCCCCTTCACTATCTGCTACTCCACCAATCTTAGTGTCATCTGCAAACTTGCTAATCAGACCATCTATACCTTCCTCCAGATCATTTATGTATATCACAAACAACAGTGGTCCCAACACGGATCCCTGTGGAACACCACTGGTCACAGTTCTCCATTTTGAGAAACTCCCTTCCACTACAACTGTCTGTCTCCTGTTGCCCAGCCAGTTCTCTATCCATCTAGCTAGTACACCCTGGACCCCATGCAACTTCACTTTCTCCATCAGCCTACCATGGAGAACCTAATCAAACGCCTTACTGAAGTCCATGTATATGACATCTACAGCCCTTCCTTCATCTATCAACTTTGTCACTTCCTCAAATGCCACATAACTGCTCACTCTACCAACATGTTAATAGCTTTTTGAAGTTCTACATTGTCCTCTCACAGTTTACAATACTTCCAAGTTTTGCATTGTCCACAAACTTTGAAATTATCCCTTATACACCGAGACCACTTATGTATAAACATCAGAAAAAGCAAGGGTCACAATACTGACCCCTGGGAAACTCCACTACAAGTCCTGTTTCAGTGAAACACATATCTGTTCACCAGTAACCTGCTGCAAGGACACTGTGCATGCAGACACAGACTTATGGAAAGGATGAGGCTGCGTCTCAGGGCTGCTCGCTTGGTCTCAGCAGTCACCCTGGTAGAGCCTACTTTGAGGCTTTGCCTTTCCTTGCATCTCAAAGCCAGGAAGCTTGACATGGTTGTCAGCAGTAATCAGTCAATGGAGTGGACATGTTGCTGTATGGCACCAAATTATGTCAATCTTGGTGCCAGCACTCATATGGCAAACATAGTGTGTGTTCTTCAAACAACCGGCCATGTCTCAAAGCCTAAGACTCGATGGCTGGCAGGGTCTGGTGTTGTGGCCTCCTCTGCCAGTCCTACATGCAGAAGATAGTCATCCACTACAACACTCTGTCTGGACCTCCAGGTGCCAGCCCTCAAAGTGGGTTGTCAATTTCTCTTTATCTGCCATGTCCAGGGCAAATGTTATGAACTGGGGATGGCTGCTGGAGACTGACAGGTGCACAATGGCCTCTGAAAGATGGAGCAAGTGCCAGGGATCCCAGCAGTAGTAAATACTTGCCCCTACAGTGGGTGGGAGAATGGGCCTAGCAACTCACGTGGCACCATAGGGGCATGGAATGTAGTCAATGATGCAAGTTTGGGATGAGTGCATGAGAAAACTCACTAGGCCTCACAGAAAGAAACTCTCCATGAAACTCGACAAAAATGTCACTTTACCGATGACTGGTAAGATTCAGCCCAAATGTCCTTTCTAGTATCTGTCAAGTGGGCTATGCTCCTATTGGACAGGCAAAGCAAATATAGCAAATCTGATAGGAAATTACCTTCATGATTCAGTGACTCACCTGTCTGGTGTAACTGAAACATTGACTGCATCAATGTACAGTCAAGATTTCAGTCATAATTTGAGATGCAACAATCATAATTTGTAATATCTAGAAGTACGTTCTGGCACATTTCAATTTGAAGCAGAGCTAACCACATCCTGGACAGAAATGCCCAGAGAGTTTTGCAAATGAAATCGCTCAGCCTATACCTTTATTTTAGTATAGTTTTGCATGCGATGTAACTATTTTAGTATGACACAGAACCTAATAAACATTACTCATTTAGAGGTGCCTAAGTGGGTCAGTAACAACTGAATTCACCTCAACAACAAAAGGCACTAAGTTCAAGTCCCACTCTAGGGCTTGTTGGCTGTGGAAGGAGCATACATGAATTTTAAAACAGGCTGCAAAAACCTTCCAACATTCCATACCATTCTCTAAAGGAGAAAAGAGAGTGAGGAAACACAAAAAATAATATTTATTTAGTCAGTTCATTTATATCTGTAGCCAAACAGTGTATAACAGCAGTACTTGCAACCAGGTAATCTGGATATGCCATTTACAGGAGCCTGGATTTTGTTGTCAATGGCCAAATAATAGCACTCGATATTCACTTCACTGAAAATGGCCCACAGCAGAGTAGGAATTGACAGTGGAGATTTCTTTTAATTCAGCAAGTTTTCCAGTTCATTATTCTGTAATGATCTGGGATCATATGAACAGAGAATCCAACAATAAGGTACTTCAACATATTGTTTTGTAGAATCCTCAATGAGATACAAGAACTAAAGTCAGGAAGTATTTCCAATAAGCAGGAAACAGAATTTGGAAATAAATGATGCACAGTAGGTAAAAGAAAATTGGGAAATATAAATTTCATTGGAGAAATATAAGGCGACAAAAAAGTGTGAAAACTTGAATTTTTTTTTATTTTTTAGACCAATACCACTCATTTCTTTATGACAGAATGAGACTCCATGCTTATAGAATTAATTTTTTGGGTTTGGGGAGATTTTTCACCAATAATTTTCATTTATACCACCGTTAGAAATTCACTTGCTCTTGAATATACAAGTCCTAAATTTCCATTGCCATCTTTTTGCACTGAACTGCTGAGAGAATGTAGCAAAATCACATGCATTGCATTTATTTTAATGCAGAGTTGTTTGGTGTAGACTGCAATAATATATACAATGGCACTAACCCTGACAAAAAAGAAACTGAATTTCTGTGTTTAAGTGACGTGTGCACACTCCAGAAATTGCTGAGAGATTTTCTCTATTATTATAATGAGTACTTATAGCTTCAAAATTGTTCTCATTTTGATTTCCATAATAACATATACTTTCAATGAGGAGGAGTTGTTGTTGAAAGGTCTAAAGGAATCACAACTTACCATTTTTTTCTGCCTGAATCACCATCACTGCTACTTCCAGCCAACTTACTAAAAAGCAAATGGAGTTACAACAATCTTCAGCATCTGTAATAGTAGTCCTGATTTTTGGAGCAGAACTTTCCGTGTGTTCCAAGAATATGTTCCTGACTGCTGCCAATATATTGAAGTCAAGCCTGTGAGGATATTTTGAAAGCATGCTTGTGTCCTTCATGAGAATGTCAGTGTGGGAGAGAAGAGCAAAGAGAAATTATTGCAGCCATTTTCTACGGCCATGGCACCTAAAGATGTTTCTGAAGCTTCGCTTTTGTACTTGCTGGATCCCCAATACAAATGAATTGTTTTTCAGAACTAAGTGGTGAAACAAAACAGACCTATGAAGTGACAATGGACAATATATTCACTGAGACCGTATTCTGACATGTTACTACTCCTGTAAAAAACACAGTGCCCACTTCATGTGCAAATTTGAACAGAGACAATCCAGTGTAACTGTGTTTGCCCTAAATCCCACATCAACCACATTAATTATATGACTTAATTACCCCAAAGGTTGAAATTTCAAGGCTGTAACCTGCATAGTAAAAACCTCATACAGATTCTTCACTATCTACAAAGTTTACTCCATTTCTTGTCACAAAGTTTGGTCACATTTCTTTCAGAACATTTCCCACTGCAGATTTCTATGTCAGTACTCCCTACTCACTTTTATTATATCAAAGATCATGGTGTAGATGTTACCTCCTGCCACTGAATGGCCAAGTCTCTCCAAGAAACAAAAACAGAAAATACTGGAGAAACTCAGCAGGTCTGGTAACATCTGTGGAAAGGCATCACTTTCAGTTTTCATTTCAGATTTCCAGCGTTCACAACCCTTGGCTTTCATCTGAGTCTCAAGTTATCTGTTTATCAACATTTTTAATATAAAACAAACTTGGACAAAAATAAAGGATAATATTGCTGGGTTTGGCCATATCATCAGTACATCAAAACATTGGGACTGTTTACCATTGATTAGTGGCAATAAATGAACAAATACTTTGCCAGATACACTGTTTTGTTGACAAGATACTTAGCGACGGCAAAAACTTGGATAATCTAGACTATTGTCAAAAGTCCAAAAAAAATCTATAATAGTGTGACTGTTTATATTTTCGCACAATCTATACGAGTCATACCTTTGAGATTTGCTGATTTCACAAGAGTTGGGTAATTCCACACGGAGATCTGGTGCTTGGGAAATCCATGGCCAGTTATTAACTCATTGTGTTGTGATAGCCAGAGTAATGAACAAATCTGAAAAAAAACAAAACCAGGTACCAATGTTAAGTATTTTCCGTTCTATGCAAAGGATTGGATTTTCCACCTGTTTATCATTAGGGAACTTGTATCCCTGAAATAAGCCAGCTTTCAAGCCAAGTCATTTGAAAATTGCAAGCAATTTTTGCCAAAGGCTTAAAACAGAAATTAAAATGGAATTTTGTTAGGGCAGATGTCTGCCTGTGATTTTTTTTCAGAGCAATTGACATCAGCCTCAGAGAAATCCATTGTTTAGACAATAACAACATAGGACCTGGCAAGAAAAGTGCCTCTGCCTACCCATTACTTTCAGTCATACCATTGTTTCATAGCAGTGCTGAGCTTTTACTTTCCCTTCCGCTGAAACAGTGACAAACTTGTTGCACTGTCAAACAAACGTTTGAAGTATTGCTCAGTGTTGTTCAACTGGCCCAATGTCAACAGAAGTGACTTAAAATTAACCTGCAGCATAGAAGTTCAACAAGGTGATGACTTAAACCATAACAGGTCAGGCTATCCCTGCAATGGTTGCTGTTTCATGCTTCCATAAATAGCACAATTTGGTAATTGCCATCTTGCTGAATCACAGAACATAGAACATAGAACAGTACAGGCCCTTTGGCCCACGATGTTGTGCCGAACTTTTACCCTAATCCTAAGGTCTATCTAACCTCCACCCCTACCTTACACTATCACCCATATGCCTATCTAATAGATGCTTAAATGCCCCTAATGAGGCTGACTCCACCACCCTCTCCAGCAATGCATTCCACATAGACAAGTCTAGTTGAAATAGGTCTCACCCCAATAGGCCCAACAAATTGGACATATGTCATATGATATGTTTGTATTGCATTATTACTTCCTTGAGAGGAAGGATTCTAAGTGTCAGCCATGTAGATGTTCATGCCTCTCGTACCACTGCATGAATTCCATTTCCTTTTCCAAATGCAAGGCACCCGTTGGCAGGTGTAATGAAATGCCCATATCTGGCATTGGTTGTAACAGCTGGGGTCAACTGGTGACCACAGGAATGCTGCTGTGACAGGCGTTCACCAAAGAGTGCTGATTTAGATGAAACTAACAATAAACAATAGGAAAAACATGCATTAGCTCCAGTTCACTTCGGCTGTTGTCAAATACTTCAAAATGCACATCTTATCAAAATAACAGCCCAACATTGGATAGTGGTATATCATTACCACAATACCTTCAGTTGTTCAGGGCAACTACCCAACGTGACCTCAGAGCATCTAGGACTTTGCCAACATTATCCACATTCTGAACATTTTTAAAAGCTCTTCTAGAACAACTTGATTCAAACACTCACAAGCAGCTCTGAAAATGAACAAAGAGAATATGGCAGTTGGATGATTTACATAATTCTGTGGGGCCTAATGGCCAGCATACACGTTGCCTCGAGAGTTTAGCATTTTGCTCTTTGTGATTGGATTTTCTGCAGGGTATGTATTGCTGACACAGGATCAGCCTCAATGTGACACCATAGAACTTGTTTTCGTTGATCATACAGTGCCACAGTTGACAGAAAATATTCTAGAGATTCATTAATATTGTCAGCACAACTGTGATCAATGATTACATTTTAGCTTGGTGCAATATATCATTGGGTCAGAATCCTTGAATTCCCTTCCTAACATCATTGTGTGTCAATCCACAGCACGCATACTGCAGCAGTTCAAGAAGACAGTTCATAATCACCTTCTCAAGAACAACTAGGGAAGGACAAAAGTTGTTGGCCCAACCAGCAATACCCACATTCCATTAGTGATGTAAAATAAATAACAGTTTGAAGAAATGGAACCAGGAATTTCTATTAAGTATTGCAAGACTAAAACTATTGTGGTTACAAAATACCACCAGTTCATTCATATAAACGCACATATAATAGATTCTGGCTGTGAGCCAGACAATGTTCAAAGATATTTCTCATACATATGGTCAACTAAGTCTTAGAAGTTACATATAGTTGCAAACCTCAAGACCTACTAAAACTGACCAATGCTTTCGAAAAGACTCATGACTCAAAACGCCTGTGATGTATGAAAACAAAGTGGAAAGATGTTGACATATACGAAGTCAGCTGCTGTTACAGTAATGGCTGAAAACTTTGTCTAATAAGAATGAAAGCAACTTGAATGAATGGAAATTAGAGTGCGGTCTCAAAGAAGCAAGCTCAGTTTGCACACTCCAGGAATAGGCTCCTTCACTGCACACTAATTAATTTTCCATGATACTTATCTGAAACATCTACACCCAGATCACACAGCCAGACAAATCAGCAGGCCATGGGACCAAACCAGAGGAGACCAGATCTTTTCTGGCTGGGAATATATTATAGAAATTTGAAATGCTATAGACAGCGACGTATTAAGATACCACAGCCTCAAAGCTGCCCATGGAAAAAATTCCCCATTTGCCCTCCCTATTCTATTGTATCAGAGCAAGATCAATGAACAATATTGCAGATGCTCCCAATGAAAAGACTTGGTTCTGTTGCAAGTTGTCTTATTTACTCACTTGTGACTTTGTATCCACGTCTCGGATACAGCTCCCACTCTTTGTGTCCCATATACGCAAATGTCCATCTTTCATTCCTCCTCCTACAGCAAGTATTCCAGATTGCCAAGGGCACCAGTTCATGGCCTATTGAAAACAAAACTATTATTGAAAAGTAGATTTATGTTTTTGTTTAACGACATCATTACCTTTTTCTGCAATTGCAAATACAAAATATCAATATTTATACAATTAGAACTGTACAGTGGACTTTTTTTGTCAACGTTAACCACATTCTCAGGAACATGATCCAAACATTTCACTTTGGACAGCGTGGTTACTGTTGCATGACCTCAGAGATCCACTGCTACAGTGGCACAATTTTCTGATACACAGTATCGTTGCAAACATGCTGTGTTACTGAGGAGCCATGATATCCTACATATTTACATACATTATAAGAGTACCCAGCCCATTTCCACCCATCGCTGTCTAATTTCTAAATGTTGATAATGTCTTTCTGAGCTCCCACTAGCACAAACCCTCACAATAGCCAAATTCCACTCATTTGTTCCACTTAGAATTAACTATAGAAAAGACTCTTCTCCAACTGCACCTCAAGACCAAACTTCTTCATAGGAAAACCTCAATCAAGAACTTAATTAAATTTATGGCCAAACTTAGCACATTCTTTGTTTTCTGTACATCGCTGGCATTCGAGCTCTGAATACTCAATTCAAATTCATACTTAAAACAATAGTCCAACAGTCACAGGAAAACAGACACTGGAGACTAAATAACCTTACTTGACAGAAAACTCGGTTTAGGGAAGGAGGTAATTGGCTCACTCCTCCCTCACCCAACCACAGTCCAAGCAGAAAAGTTAGCAACCAGCTGACTACCCAGTTAGAAGCTGGCCAGCAACCAGAGAGTGCTGTGAGAGACCCAAACAAGTTCCTAGTGGGGCATCAGTCAGGCAGCTCCTACAATACAAGCAGCAGCAGAACTCTTTAATAGGATCAAAGAGCTCCCAGCATTGAAGTAAATTAGATTTTAAAAAATCAAACTGCAATAAAAGACACAAATAAAAATGGAATTATTTGTTTCTGAATCACTCCCGCTGAAAGTAGACACCATATTCCATCGGCCTGTCACACTGCGCTTGTTCTAAATACTAAAATATTCCAGGTTTGAATCTGGTTTATATTCAGTTAAATTGGGTCAACTGTGGGAACTTTACTGACCTCAGAGCTCCTGGTGTTTGGAAAGAGGATTAATATTGGTCAGGATTTAATATTTCACTCAAAAGCAACATACTGCAGATGCTGGAAACTAAACTGAAACAGAACGTGCTGGAGATGCTCAGCAAGTCAAACAGCATCTGTGGAGAATGCAGCACAGAGATAATGGGCCAGAATTTTTATCTTCAAGTCTGGTAACTTGAGTTGGGTAAAGTCTCCGTTTCACATGCCCACCTCAAAAAATACCAGCTCTGGAGGCTGGATCTTCTTTCCTGGGGTGCGATGGATACCAGCTGAAACCAGAACAGTCAAACCCAGAAAAGGTTTGAATTTGACCTCACTGTGGTAGCTTCATCCTAACTGTACGGAATAAACAGAAAGTCCCTGCTGCTTCATTCCATGCACTGCCCTCATACTCCACAGACTCCATACATCCATTCCCATTCACAATATGCATTAGCTAGAAGCAGTGAACCCTGCAGTGACAGTTGTATGCATTAATATTTTTTTTAATAAATCACACGTAATTTTCCACCATATTAAAACCACTATGCTTGCAAAGGCTCCATTCAGTGTACACAAATAAGGTGTCAATAATTCATAATAGACTCTTTAAAACTTCAGTAACTGAAACTGCAAGATACTTGAAACTATTAAGCTTCAATAGACAAACACTGTGAAATTGATATATCGTGCGGTCTGAGCTATCAATCATACAAAAGTTCAGCTCCGGGGAGTTCCAGCTCTCTAATTGTTCTCTGAGCTCTCAGCCAAAAATATATTTGGGGATTGGTCTTAGAAGTCATGCCAACAAGTTTGAAATTTAAAATCGAGTCAGCAGCATAGCAGTAGTAGGTCAGGCGTTAAACCTCACTGGTACCATGTACTAAATTTCCATGCCAAGAATTTTCATTTTCAGGAACCTTGTGGCATCTGGTCTATTGTCATTTAAAGTTGTTGTGCACCTACCGGCTTGGTGTAACTGTGAGCTGAGCAGTTGCCTCAGGACAAAAGATGTTAATGAGAATTAAGGGATGGTGGGGGATAGGTTCATGACGGGCTGGAGGTAACAAAGGATTGCAGAGACAGGTCGACGCACATTGCAGAGTAAATAGAGCTACACGTGGAACTTATGACTTTTAATCAGAACCTCTTTGTTGACCCAGGGATATTTTGGTTCTGAGCAATCTTTGTGTTATTTGAAATGGCTTGGGTTTTTGTGCAAATTAATATGATTATAGAATCACTACAGTGCAGAAACAGGCCATTCAGCCCATCAAATCTTCGGACAGCATCCCACACAAATCAACCCCAATACCCTATTCTTCTAACTCTACATATCTAATGGATAATCCAACTAGTCATGTACATCCCTGGACACTATGGGTAATTTAGCATGGGCAATCCACCTAACCTGCACACTGTGGGAGGAAACCAGAGCACCTGGAGAAAACTCACACAGACAGGGGGAGAATGTGCAACCTCCACACGGTTACCCAAGGTGGAATCGAACCCTGGTACCGTGAGGCAGCAGTGCTAACCATTGAGCCCCCGTACCGCCTGGATGTTGCTTCATGTTGCCAATGTTACATTTATTCCCTCGATTATCTTGCACTAGACATTATACTGTCTACAATTCTAAATTCCAGATCATTTGAAAGTAGTGTGCTCTATTAAAAAAAAATGGTCGATAAAGAGAACAGTTGCTACGTTTTGGTATTTAATTTACTGGCCTGTAAAATCAGTTGTGATCTGTCCCAGCTTCCTGGAAACTAATGGAACCCTTTAATATAAAATGCATTTTCAGCTAATGTGTCACTCCCCTGAGGATTCCACCAGTCTCCTGCTGAAGTTACAGCAGGTGATGAAAAGAACATCTGTGGAATTTCTATGCCACCTTGTTTAAAATAGCAGAAAAGGCCAAACAGTCTATGGTTGACCAGAAAACATTCAAATGAAAATTCAGTTTTGAGCAATCAAAACATGCCTGTTTCTTTTAGATTAGGTTTTGTTCCTTCTAGGAATTTGAGAATATTAGAGCCACAGAAACAGAACTTTGTGGGCATCAAGTCTGCTTCAGTTTCTACCTGAATTCCCCTTGACTTTTAATATTCATTCTTCAAAGAGAATATTTAATTCACTTACAAATAGTCACAACATTGACAATGTTGCCAAAGAAATGCTTAACTAGAATTTTTCATAAATTTTAGTAAGTCCTGTAGTATTCAAGATAAAGAACATTACGGAAGAATGTCCCTTATTTGGGCATCTAGTTTTAGCATCAAGCATTATCAATGATAGGCTGTATAGATTATTTACAGACTAAAGTTCTCGTTAATCTTCCCCCGACAACCTGCCTCTAGCCAACCAAGAATTGTCACATTTTCCCATTCTTTTTAAGTAGTTTTCTTGAAGCCTCTCTGGATGATGCACAGATAGTTGCCTAAGGCTAGAATCAAACCCAGGCCCCTAGTGCTGTCAGGCAGCAGTGCTAACCACTAAGTCACCATGAGGCAGTACAGTGGCTCAGTGGTTAGCACTACTGCCTCACAGTGCCAGGGACCCAGGTTCAATTCCAGCCTCGGGTGACTGTCTCTGTGGAGTTGGTTTCCACCGGGTGCTCTGGATTCCTCCCACAGTCCAAAGATGTGAAGGTTAGGTGGATTGGCCATGCCAAATTGCCTGTAGTGTTCAGGGATGTGTAGGTTTAGTGAATTAGCCATGGGAAATAGGTGGGGTGGGGGGTGGGGTACTGTCTGGAGAGTCAGTGTGGACTTGTTGGGCTGAATGGCCTGTTTCCACACTGTAGGGATTCTATGATATAAGCAAATACTGCTAAATTATAAACCGCATAGCATCTGGCATCCCACCTTCACCTTCCTTGTGCCTACTAGAGACTAGATAATAACTGTTCAACCCATTTCACCTAAGAATGTATACAGAGAATAAATTGATGATGTGCTGATCCTATCAGGTTGAGGTAGAATTGATCCCAGATTCTGGTGCTAAAAAAAGCTATCGAGTGGAACCATTACACTGTTTAGTTACTTCAAAATAACTTATATTAATTAAGGTTTTGAACTGATGGGTAGCAGAACACAGAAAACATGCATTACAAGATAGTTACCAATTAAGCACATTCACCTTTACAGCTGACTGATGATTATTAATGGTCATATCTGGTTTACTGTTAATGTTGGCTCCTGGATCATTAAGCCAGATATTCAGTAGACCGTCATTACCACCACTAGCGAGTAGTGCACCATTTGGTGACCATTTGAGGCTACATACTTGAGAGCTGTGACCACAGAGAGTACCAACATGGTGATGTGCAATTCTTACATCATGGTGGTGAATAGATCCAAATCGGGAGCCACTATAGAAAGGAAGGAGATGAAAACATACATAAGTTAGTAAATGGCAGTCACCTATTTTTTTGAGTTGAGACAGGTGCAGTGCATGTACATGTTCTTTCTTTTTTACAAAAAGGAGGGCCCTGCGCATAAATATGTTTAGCTACCAGCATATGCAAGTGTGCCACGCTACTGGCATGAAGATAGGTGGAGGGACACGTATTGTTGAGGAAACGAGAAGGCTGCAGAAGTACTTGGACAGGCTTGAAAAATGGGCAAAGAAGTGGCAGACAGAATATTATGTGGAGAAGTGTGAACAATTTTAATCCATAAATTGCCCATAGTGTCCAGGGATGTGTAATTCCTAGTGGGCATATTGAAGGTAGTAGGATGGGGTAGGGGCTGCTATACTGTTTATAATTTAGCAACAATTGCTTATATCACCCAAACAGGCTTCAAGAAAGCTTCTGAAAAATGTCACAGAGACAGGTTGTTGGGGAAGATTAAAGAGAACTTTACTTGTAAATAAACTGCACGTTTTGGTAGGAAAAACAGAAATGTAGACTATTTTCTAAATGGGGATAGGCTTCAGAAATCTGAAGCACACAGGAACTTGGGAGTCCTAGTTCAGGATTCTCTGAAGGTTAACATGCAGGTTCAGTTGGCAGTTAGGAAAGCAAATGCAATATTAGCATTCATTTCCAAAGGGCTTAGCATACAAAAGCAGGGATGTACTGCAGAGGCTGTTTAATGCTTTGGTCAGACCGTATTTGGAATATTGTTAGCAGTGTTGAACCCCACATCTAAGAAAGGATGCGCTAGTCTTGGAGGTGGTCCAAAGGATGTTTACAAGAATGATTCTGGGGATGAAGGGCTTGCCATATAAGGAGTGGTTGGGACTCTGGGTTTAGCAGGATGATGGGGGCGCTCATTGAACCTTAGAGAATACTGAGAGGCCTGGATAGAATGGACATGGAGAAGATGTTACCACGTGTAGGAGAGACTAGGACCCAAGGGCACAGCCTCAGAGTGAGGGGACAATCCTTTAGAACTGAGATGAGGAGGAATTTCTTCAGCCAGAGGGTGGTTAATCTGTGAACTCATTGCTGCAGAGCGATGTGAAGGCTAAGTCATTGAGTGCATTTAAGATGGAAATAGAAGGGTTCTTGACTCGTAAAGGGATCAAGTGTTACGGGGAGAAGGCAAGAGAATGGAGTTGAGAAACATATCAGCCATGATCAAATGGCAGAGCAGACTTGATGGGCCAAATGGCCTAATTCTGCTCCTATATCTTATGATCTTATGGACCACAGATGGTTTTAAGGACTTTAAGGTTTTAAGGTTTTAAAAACATCTTTGCTGCAGCCACAGGCCAAACTGTACAGGAAACCATTCAGCCTTTCACAGCAAGATGCCTGGGTGTAACTACTTGAGTCTCTCAAACAAACATTGCAGGAAAAGGCTTCTGTCTCACAAAGGGTACAAAGATGTCCACCAGAGGTTCAAATCAAGTGATCTTTGGTGGTAAAGTGAATATTAGGGAGAGGGTGTTAGGAACATCAGAAGGGAAAGGAAGCCTAAGGTCTGTGGACAACCAAGGTTTTGTTGAGAGATCCAGAGAACCTTGTCATACAAGCATGGGGTTAATATTGCAGACAGGTCCCAATGACATCATAGAACCTGATCAGTATATTAGAGGAAGACATATTGCCTTTCTGCTTGCTCACCTGCGCTAGGTTAATATCAAGGCCTATGTGAGGCAGTGGGATAGAGCAAGTTAGTTATATGGGAGTTTTAATTACCTGCCTGCCTGTCTGGTGTCAATTGACAATGACTGATGTTATCGTAAAACATAATGTACCCTGAGTTTGAAATTCATTGTAATAATTCCCTTTCTGTGAAAATACTAACATTAATCAATGAATGTGTGCAAATGTACAGGGCGGCACGGTAGCTCAGTGGTTAGCACTGCTGCCTCACAGCGCCAGGGACCTGGGTTTGACTCCAGCCTCGGGCGACTGTCTGTATGGAGCTGGCACATTTTCCCCATGTCTCCGTGGGTTTCCTCCTGGTGCTCCGGTTTCCTCCCACAGTCCAAAGATGTGCAGGGTAGGTGGATTGGCCATGCGAAATTGCGCATAGTGCCCAGGGATGTTTAGGTTAGGTGGGGTTAGACATGGGAAAATGCAGGGGAATGGGTCTGGGTGGGATGCTCTTCAGAGGGGCAGTGTGCACTTGTTGGGCCAAATGGCCTGTTTCCACACTGTCGGGACTCTATGACAAAATAGGATACTCACAGAAAGATTGAGAAATGTTAATTACAATTTCCAAATTCATTCAAAACTACTAAAAATTTAAAGCAATGTTTTTTCAAATTGGCAATGCAGTTAGATCAATAATGTATTTTTTGTGATTTTATTTCCAGTTCGTATTTGTTGGTTCTGCGTTTTTTTTTCCATTGAAGGGATTGTAACATATGAGTTTTTGTCAGTAACTATTGAAACAAAACTGGGTTTAATTGAAGGAGTAAACATCCAGCAAATTATAATAGTCAACTATCTGACCTGTTAAAGATAATATTACGAAACACTTAAATGTTAATTAAATGTTTGAAACCCATGGATACGTGCATGGAGATTGTGTGGTGGCTAGAGTGGTAAAGTCACACCTGCTAAGAATGTAGCTGTTCCAGCTCAGCGCACCAACCATTGAACTGTGGCTATGCATGTTGCGTAATTTCTTCTTTGTCTCAATGTCCCACAACTGGAATTATAGAAATAATTCTTATGAAAAATATTTGTGACAAAATATATCCGTTTTACCATGATCTAACCTTTCAAATGAAAAATATACAATGGCAACTGTCATTTTTACCTCTCCTTTTATCCTCTTTTCCTGAAAGTAGTGTCCTACAATTTGCAGAATGCTTCTCCATCTGCCAGTGGCATTCTTTTAAATCTTAATGGTTAAAACCATTGCATTTATAAATAATTTGTTCGCTGGTACAAGAACAAATTTTGCACGCCTCCATCCACAGCCCATCTATTTGAAATGTGAACAGAGATCCACAATTTGTATTGAAAAGATTCCTACACACGGTTTAATTTAATCCATGAGGCCCAGATGGCACCACTTGTGTGAACATATGAATAAGGAACAAGAGTAGGCCACTCGGCCCTTCGAATCTGCTCTACCATTTAATACATTCATGGCTGATCTGATTTTCACCTCAATCCTACATTCCTCCATTACCAGGAGAATCTTTCATCACCTTGGTAATCAAGAATTTATCTACCTCTGCCTTAAAAATATTTATTTGCGAATCCAGAGACCACATGCACAGAGTGTAATGTTACTTTTAAAGGTCAGGTGTGAGCTATGTAAGGCCTGTACAATCATAGGCCAAGGGGTTGACAAAAAGTAACTAAGGCTGTTGTCAAGTGATTGCAGTGCAGACTCTACAGGCAACGAGCTGGTCAGCTGAGGGGAAAAATATTGCAGACTTGGTAGGACATGGTCGGGATGCCAAGCCCTCATCATTCTTCACACGTCTATTCACACCCATCATTCGCTCCACAAAGCTGGACATCAAGTTCTCAGACACCTTGCCCCCACCCCTACAACTCTAAAAAATGTCTGAAGTCAGGGAAAGAGCAGTCCCAGAGTGTGACAATGGCTCCCAGTTTACTTTCCCCCAGACATTGCTCTTGCCTGGTAAATGGTGACAAATCACCTTCCCACCTCACCAAGACATCCTGGAAGCAGATTGCAGAGGACATGAGTAGCCATGATATCTGGCTAAGGTCCTGGGTCCAGTGCTGAGAGCAGGCCAATGAACTCTTTTTTCCACTAAAGGGTGTTGCGTATATTTTGGGGGAAAAAAACCATGATACACCAAGGTATCCTGGATTAGGAGATCATCGAATATTTTTGGGATAGTTTCTTAGAACAAGCACATTCTGTAACTAACCAGACAGCAGGGCCTGTTAATGGGCAAAACAAATGCATAATATAATCTATTTGGTCAATAAAATCAAGGTGAAAAGACAATAGTTAATACCCCTCACCTGCACAACAGCAGCACTGGTTCCAATTGCAAGGTTGTTTCTATCTTTAATCCAGGCGACTGATGAGATGTACCCTGACTCCACACTTATGGCCTCATGCATTCCCTTCTCCGGGTGCCAAAGATATACTGTATCAGATAGAGCAATGGCTACCAGATTTGCAGCATTCCAATCAACCAAATTAAGATCTAGAAAATATAATGCAGAATGGTATAACAACATAAACCTCCATTTAATGTGGTACTTTTACCATTAAAAGTGTCCCAGGGTAGCTCACGGAGTCTTGAAGAAAATGAATGTTAAGAAGAGATTGGGTGGAGGGAGCGGCTGAAAGCTTTGTTGAAAGGTGTAAATCTTAAAAAGACTGAGCTGGATACAGAGGCAAAGGGATTGAAAGAGGAAATATTTGAAAATGAGACCCATGCAACAGAAAGCATAGTTGCCCGTGACAGGAGGTACACAAGAGGCTGGATTAAAGGGACAAAGAATTAACAGAGATTGTTGTAAGGTTAAAGGGATGATGTAGTTGTGAAGGATAAGACCATCGAGGTTTTCAACTCAAGAATGAGAATTTCAAATTGAAGCTTGGAAATTGGATGCAGTGCAGTTTCAGAAGAATGGAAGTGATGGGCAAGCATTTATGGTAACAGGATATGGCTATGTGGTTAGATTTCAAATAACTTGAATACAGTTCAAATAACTTGATACAGTAACTTGAATATTGTATCCATTGTGATAACTAACAAGCTCAAGGGACTCAGTTGATTCAGAGATATGGCTAAAGAAGATATTTTGTGTTCAGAATTAACCACAGCATTGATCAAATTATTGTCTTAAAGTATTAGTCGTGCACTGATGATCATACAGTTATTTAGCTGCATTTGAGTAGTAATTAATGAATCAGTTATCATATTAGTAAGCCAAGATCTTCATATAAAGCTTGTTATTTCCAATCATTTTAAGTCTATATGTCTGTATGCGGAAGTCCAATTTCAAATAAACTGCTCTAGTAAAAAAGACTTCTTATATTCCTGAGAATTGTCCTGAGAGAAGCAAGTTCTGATAGAGAGAGATGGCTTCGTTTGAGATATTTCAGAGAAACAATTTTATTGTATTATGTCTGAAATACTCGAGCCAAACGGCTAATGTGACTAGGAACCAATCAAATTAAGAATTAATCAAAATAAGTTAGCAACAGCAATAGCCAATTGTTATTCCCTTTACTGAAGAAGAGTGTGGAGATGTCTGTGTTAGACTGGGGTGGACAGAAGTGACACGACTCCAGCTTATAGTCCAACAGGTTTATTTGAAGATTTCACCTGACGAAGGAGCGTTGCTCCAAAAGCTTGTAATTTCAAATAAACCTGTTGGACTGTAACCTGGTGTCGTGTGACTTCTGACTCTGAAAAAGAGTTTTATTGAACTCAAAACGTTAACTCTGTTTCTCTCTCCACAGATGCTGCCAGACCTGCTAAGATTCTCATGCATGTTCAATTTCAATATAGGATAAATGCCATTCATTAGTGAAGCCAGGCAAATGTACATACACATTTTCTGGCCTGGTGCTTATTTTCTCTATTTTCTGAACAACTACTAGGCCCTAAAATTCCATTGGGGCTGTTCAGGTCTCTCAGTGTTCCTCCTGTAGATCATAGGCAGAACTTCCAGCATGACAACAGAAACTCCACATAACCCAATCACACTGGATCATAGAGTCATGGACGCATACAGGACAGAAACTGGACGTTCAGCCCAACTCCTCCATTACGACCAGATTTCCTAAACTGAATGAGTCCCATTTGCCTGTGTTTGGCCCACATCTCTCTAAAACTTTCCTATTGATGTACCTGTCCAAATGTCTTTTAAGTGTTGCAACTGTACTCACCTCTACTACTTCCTCTGGTAGCTCATTCCATGTATGCACCATCCTCCGTGTGAAAAAGTTGCGCCTCAGGTCCCTTAAATCTTTCTCCTCTCACCTTAAACCTATGCCCTCTAATTTTGGACTTCCCTACCCAGGGAAAAAGACCTTGGCTATTCACCTTTTCGATGTCCCTCATGATTTTATAAACCTCTATAAAGTCACCCCTCAACTTCCTACATTCCAGGGAAATAAGCTTCAGCCTATCCAGCCTCTACTTATAACTCAAACCCTCCAGTCCCAGTAACATTCTTGTAAATCTTTTTTGCACCCTTTCCAGTTTAATAACATCCTTCCTATAGCAGGGAGATCTACAGCAGACCCCACTGAAACTTCAGGATTTCTATCAGTTAATTAGGTATCTGCAGTCTTCCTTTAAAAATTTTCTGTGGACTTCTCCTGTACCAGTTCCTCTCCTTCCCTACATAGACAAACAGCAGTTCTTAAGTAAAGTCATAACGTGAATGACAACAGAAATTGAGATTCACATTTTTCTCTTCTAGCCAAGAAACAAACATTCTAACATTACAACTACCCAGCCAGTCATGATGACGACAATGAAAAAACTGCAGTTTTAAGCCAAACATGAAGGAGGTTGAGAATACATCATAAACTGAAATACATTGCTGCCTTGGAGTGCAAGGCTCCTCCAACAGTACCTTTCAAACCCAACACCTCTGGAAGGACAAGGCAGATGATATCATGTGTAAGTTCCAAGTCACACACTATCCTGATTTGGAACTCTATCAATGTTCCTTCACCATCACTTGGTCAAAATACTGGAACTTCCTCTGAAACAGCCGTGTGGGTATCACTACACCACATGGACAGCAGTTCCAGAAGGTGACTCACCATCATCTCGTCAAGGCAAGGATGGGCAATAAACGCTGGCATTTCCAGTTACTCATACCGTGTAAGCAACTAAAAAGTAAGCCACTTGTTCTTCACTTTATGCCATACAAAATAGATTGCACGTGCTCCAGTGCAATAAGCTATTAATGGTAATTATGACGTTGTGGTCACTGACTGTCATATCATTGTAGAAAATGGCAGAAATACCAGGCCGTCAAGGGCCTTTGTGGTAAGGCAACAGTTTCCTGCCTGAAAGTAAGAATATTGCTGAAGGGATTGATAAACAATTTGCTGGGCTAAAATTAGGCCTCAAAAGCTTGTAGGATTTCTCTGTTCCAAATTGCAATCTAACATAAGGAACACAATTAACCACAAGTTGTGTCACTTCAAAACTCTCTGCAATCTCAGCATAATGACATATACAGAATATACACAGTCAATCCCATGGTATGGCCTACGTCACTGAAAGATGGAGAACAAAGGTTCACCTGCCTAAAATGGCTGAAAGTAAATTTGTCGAGTCCTTTGTTATAAACACAGCTAAGAATTTTTTTTTTCTAATCTCATTAGTCAAAGCTGATATTGCAGACAAAGTTTGTGCAGAGTTAAAGCTTGTGAATTCAACCACTTCCTATCAGTCATTTCTACTGGTTTAAATTAAGTCAGGTTCAATTCCAGAGTAAGTGACTGAATCACTAGATCAGCAGCCTCTTTGCCCTTATTATCATGGCAATTAAGTACATTGGAGGCCAACATACAATTCAACTGGAATTTTAGAGTGGATAAAATGTTGAAGGAAGGGTAATACCCGAAACATTGACTGCTCCTTTCCTCCAGATGCTGCCTGGCCTGCTGTGTTCTTTCAGCCTTCTGTTTGTCAATGTTGACATCACAGGTGTATTTCTCATATTCCAGATAATTATGTTACATCACTAAAGAAAAAGGATGCTAGGCCCACAGATAGCTTGCTGATGCACAGATCCATGATCACTATTTCTTTTCAGTACCTGATCAGACTGGTCATGATGTGTCATTTTCACATTATGCCCCACCAGACTTGCATTTTCCTGCACTGGTTGTTGAAATGTCCTGAGAGATCGAAAGTTTTATCAATGTAAAGAAGAGGTGACATTTTAGGTCAGACAATGCACGTTAGGTGTGAGGCCTTGTTTAGAATCTGTTTGTGTTTTGGTTTGGAGTCAGATTGGTTTTATTTCTAAAGTATGAATTTATAAAACGCCATATTAACTGACTGTCTATAAACTGTGTGCTTTTTGAACAAAATAGACTGTATCTCTCTCTCCCCTCCCCCACACATACAGTTTATAGGACAGTGACTTCAAAAGAATTTGGGAATTTACAGATACATATTAATCAATTGAAACCTTCTCACTGTTTAAAGATTTAACAGCATCTTGCGTTTGTTTAGTACATCCTCATCAGTGGTGTGACCTTTTGATCTTTTATTTATAAATTCTGCGTCCAATACTACCTCTCTCACTAACACCTGAAGAAGGAGTAAGACCCTGAAAGCTTGTGTTTTCAAATAAACCTGTTGGACTGTGACCTGGTGTCATGTGATTTCCGAACTTGTCCACCCCAGTCCAACACCATCACCTCCACATCATGTGCCGGTATTGATACTGGTACCGTGGTCAGCTAATTAACCCAGATTGGGCGTCCTTCCTTTTGAATTATCTCAAGCTCCAAAAATGTTGTTATACAAATACGTTTCTAACTGCTCATACCAAATATATGGGACAAATTAGCACAGATTCAATACCTGTACAGGTTGAAGTAGTTCTCACCTGCCTGCATGCCATGCCTCATCATGGTAATATTAAACAAGGCATATGAGGTAGCCCTTGGTCTATACTACAGGGACACCATGATTCTACAAGTCATTAGACTTGCATTTGATTCTAGAAGTAGAGTTCATTCTGGGTGTTTCATTGGAATGGGAGTCATTCCACATAATGGAATTATCTACATCCCTTAAGTAAAGCTTTCTGCTTTGTGAAATTATTTTATAATATTATATTCAAATAATTTCAACAAAACTGAAATTTGCAGGCACAAGTTTTGGAACAAATCCAGTACCAACCATTTCCTTTGTTGATTATATCGGAACAATTATGTTGAGAAAATTAAATGTTAATAGCTTTGAGGCTACAAAGCAGCAGTCAGTTATTCAGAGATAGTAGGAACTGCCGATGCTGGAGTCTGAGATAACAAGGTGTGGAGCTGGATGAACACAGCAGGCCAGGCAGCATCAGAAGAACAGGAAAGCTGAAGTTTCAGGTCTGGACCCTTCTTCAGAATTCTGAAGAAGGGTCCAGACCCGAAAGGTCATCTTTCCTGCTCCTAAAGTAGTCAGTTATTAATTTGTGTAAAAGTTGACATCCATGTTCAAGCTCCTCAGTAATATTATTGTTGCATTCCCTTCAATCTTTCCCAACAATATTGATTGGGGTAAATACTACCATTGAGTCCGGCATTCTCACCGTCCTTTTCATTACAGTTAAACAGAATTGGATCACTTTCTCTTTTGTTTAGATTTCCAGAAAGAAAACTAATGAAGACCAGGGAAAGAATAGTCCAGTAACTTTCTAGAAATTTGTTTTAAAACTAGTGTGAATGAGGCTTGTGATTGGAAAATACAATCATAAAAATACATAACGGGAACACTTGTTTTATACATGGGCCAAGTGAAAAATGTTTGTAAAGCCCATAAATACAAGAATACTTACAGTAATCATCCTTCAGACCTGGAGCATCCAAGACTTTCATCGGGAGGAAAGGTATACATCGTTTCCTTTTTGTACCATCACATTTACCAGAAAGAAACGTGTCACCTAGATTGTTCTTGTAAACTAAAACAAAGAATAAGAATTTCAATATTATTATAGCACCAATAATTCATTTCAATTTGGAACCACAATCTAGTCATAAATTTTAACCAGTAATTGATATATAGATGCATCACAACGCAACCAGTCCTGGGAGTCACGATAATTCACTCAGTGATCAGTCAAGGGTATGGTCAGTTATCATTCAGGGCTGTTCATCCAAGACATTCAGGTCTTGGGGTCAGCTCAGTGAAATTCAAGTGGTTTCTCAGGGGCTGCTGCTAAGGGAGGGAAGTTGGGAGTGCCAATTCTGGGGATTGGAGGAGCATGCCAGAATGTAAAGAGGATAACAATCATGAAGGAGTGAAACTCAAGATATAAAGTGGGTGGGAGACAAAAGTGCATTGGGAGACATGGGTTAGAAGTGGGTCATCAATGGTCACAACCATCCTGACCTTTACAGGGGACAGTGCAGCATGATGGTTGGCAAACTAATACATAGAGCTGGGATTAGGGGTAATGTCAGGAGATGAAGATGCAAATCAAAGAGTTGCATATTGAAGCTCGGCTGGACTTGATAGAGAATCCTAGCATTGCTGTGTTCTACCCAGCTACAGCAGGCAAACAGGGGATGTGACAGGTATGGAAGAACTGAGAGAGTGCAGCGGTCTTCCAAGGAGAAGAAGGAGGACACTGAATAGGATATCACCTTCGTCATGACAGAGCGCAGGAGCATCAGGTACAATAAATCAGGCAGGACTTATTTGACACCCAGCTCCATGTGCATGCGCTAGCTGCAGTGATTCTTCATTGGCTGTGATTTTGTTGCTGCTCAAACGACAATGGTCCCTCTCTGTTTCCAGAGGCAAATGCAGCTTCCAGTTGTTTGTTTCTTTTTCTTCAAATTTACTGTTGCTGAATGAAAATTAAGATTTTCAAATGTTTGAAGACATTCAAATATGTAATGGTCCTATATTGGTGTTAGGCTAAATATCACACAGCATTCAACACTCCCTCATTTTGGCCTGATGTTAGCAGTCACCAAACTATGATATTGTGCACAATGATGCTTCAGTTCTCTCTCACCTTGTCAGTTCTAATTCATGTTCTTCATTTCCCACAAGCTCTTCAACCATCCCAGAAGAGGTGGTACAGGAATTACTACAGAGAATGTGACTCATTCTGAGGATGCACCCTCACAAAAGTTATGCATACCACTTGCCAGCTTAGATACAAATTTCCAGACATACTCAGTTGCGTGAAGTCTCTCTCAAACTGAATGTGTGATCTTACTGATCAGAATTAGAAACTCCATGTGCTGTCTTAGCGGGATTTGAACCTATGCCCCCAGCTTGAGTCACTGCTCCAACAACAATCTCCCACACCCCAGCCTCCCCTACTTAAACAGCATTGATGAAAATCCAGCTTTGGCTGTTCAGGGCCTGGTTGTGTGGTGAAAAGATCACCAGGTTGATGTTAGGAGGGAATTGTGGGCTGAGGGAATGAAAAAGTGTGCATGGAAGTGGGGGCTGTACTCAAGGTACTTCCAGTTCTTCCCTTTTGTCTCTATCAGTGCCCTTTCTTAAGGTAATCCCTCAGCAATTTGAAGACCTTATAATTAAAAATTGGCTACGGTTGCCAGGGTACCATTGTGGAGGGGGTGGGGGGGAGCTCCTCTACATGGAGCCTGCTGTCTTTTCTGCCGCTAGGTAGGCAGGCATGGCATCAAAACCTGCCTGGAATGTTTACCTGGCCACCCTAAATCCTGGGCTGCCAATGAGAGGCCATTTCCATATAACTGACTTATTCCTAGTGTTGCAAGGGGCATGCCAGAGATCCCCCAAGGGGGAAGCTGGAAAATGCCCATCAGCCTCTGATACCTTGCCTTATTTGATCATAAATGTTCCTCAGTTGACTCTCAGCCATTTACAGGGACAAAGCCAAGGGCAGTGAAGTGCCAGTCAGTGCCATGTCCTACAGACAACGATTCCATCCAAGATCATCATTATTCCATGTGTGTAGTCAATCAAAGTATCCCCAGATTATCCTTATCAGTCACAAAACCAGCGGAAGGTTTTTCACACATATCTATTCAAAGTCTCCTGGTAGTTGCCATGATTTTATTTATTTATTGTCACATGTATCTTGTTATAAAATAGAGTGAAAAGTGTTGTATAGTGTCCCAAATCAATGGCGCCATCTCAAAACATAGAAAAAATAAACCAAAACATAGAATGTAAAGGCAGAAAAATTAAGAAGTAAAGAAACAAATTCTTCAGTCTGGCAACAAGACCTGTGGGTCTTTGTACCTCCAAACAGAGTAAGCCAATTGCTCCTTGGAAACAAGGGTTATCTTCTGAGCATGTGAATACTGACATTGAAAAAACCTTTGGGCAGCTGAAAATACAATTTAGGTGCCTGCACAGATCTGGAAGAGTCTTTCAGTATGCACCAGCAATGGTTTTGAGAACAGTAATGGTTTGCTGTGCTTTGTGTAGTGCAGAGAGAACTGAAGTTGCAGGAGATGAGTGCACTGACTGCTCTGCATCTGACCACATGGAGGATGAAGAACATCATGTAACCAGGGCACTCACAGCCACTCACCTTGCCGACAGAGGAAAATCCATGACAGGTTTATCGAGCATGCTTCAGGGAACCAGACAATGTAAAGCTACATAGCACAACAACGCTAAATCCACAGCGCCCACGACCCAAAATCATTCTCAGAGTCAAAAATCCCTCCATCAAATTTACATCCTCTGCCTGGCTTCCACTTTGCTTATTCATTGTTCTTGAGGTGAATCGATTACAGATCATGGCAATCCACCTTGACTTCTCAATTCAGATAAACTTAAGTATTGCATGGTTAAGATTAAAGTTTTTAAAATTTTAAGAGATTTCTAAAAATTTCTGAAATCTAGGAATGTTTACGCCATCATTTTCTCAGCCTTTGCTTGCAGGCATTTACATCTTAATAGATTATTTCTTTAAACGGTTAAACAATCAGAGAATATTGAAATTAAAATGGTGTGCCCTGATCACTAAAGTATAACTTTCTGATAAAGTCTACACATTGTAATTTACTGCAGTTTTACGTGCAGTTCTAAAAATAATTTGCTCAATGTGGGCAGTGTACTTAAAAAACAATGAGGTTTTCAGTCTTGTGGTCAATAGAGTCACTGTGCCTCAGGAAGTAGCTATAGCAAATAAAAATCCACAAGATTCGAAACAAACCATACCACACAAGCTCTTTACAGACTGCAAAAGGAATGAACCTTGACCAATAGTCTCAAAGATCATGCAAAAGATTGCACAATGGTTATCTTCACGCTGCTGCTAGTTTTTCCATTCTCTTGTGGACTGCTCCCCAAGCCTGACTCCCAAGTATCGATTATCATCAAAAATAGCATGAATAACTAATCTACAAAATTAATACTTAAAACACAAAAAACACTTAAAAGTCAGATTACAACATAATACTGAAAAGCAATACTGAACAATTATTAAATGTATTTTCCAGAACAAATAAAACAATTTCTGGAACAAGGAAATCTACGCTGAAGGAGCAGCCTTCAATTGTGAAACAAATGGCACAATTTTGCTTCTGCAGAGGTAACTAAGGCAATAGGGGAGGATTAAAACTAACATGGCAGAAGATCATAGAATCCCTGCAGTGCAGAAAGAGGTTATTTGGCCCATCGAGAGTACACCAACCCTCCAAAGGGCATCCCACCCAGACCCAGTGCACTACCTTATTCCCATAACCCCACAATTCCCATGGCCTACACATCCCTGGTCACTGCGAATGATTCACCAATGCCAACCCACATGGCATGCACATCTTTGGACTGTGAGAGGAAACCAGAGTACCTGGAGGACACAGGGAGAATGTACAAACTCTACACAGACAGTCATCCAAGGCTGGAATTAAACCCATGTCCCTGGCGCTGTGAGGCAATAGTGTTTTACCACTGAGCCAGTGTGCAGCAGTGAAGGTAGAGTTGGCGAGAAAGAATTTTTAAAAAGCTGCGGAATAAAAGCTGCAGTTTTATCTAAAAACATTGTCCAAGGAGAAAGGAAAAGAAAGGTTATGAGGTCATCAAAGATAAACACACTATGGGAAAGGTAAAGGATAACTCAAAAATAAAGGATAAAACTAAGGGAAAAAATGAAGTCAAGAAATGCCAAAACAGAATGTTAGAAACAACTAGCAGATCATAGAAAAAGAAATAATAAAGAAGTAAAAACTTGCACTTACACAATGCATTTCATGACCTCCCAAAGCACTTTACAAAATATTAAGTACTTCTGAAACACAGGCACTATTGTAATGCATAAAATGTATAAACAGCAATGAACCACAATCTGCAAAGACTTTTGTAAGCACATAAAAGGTGATAGATTAATTAAAGAGATTGTAGGGCAATTCAAGTTAAAAGGAAGGAATCTAAATGTGGAACATAAAGGGTACAACAAAAATACTAAATAGTTAAATAAATTGCATACCGTTTACAAATATTGATGGAAATGTACATGACAGTGTTCAAATGAAGAACATGGAATAATTATTGGAGATAGTGGTGTAGTGGTAATATCACTGGACTATTAATCCAGAATGCAGGCTAATGTTCTGTGGACATAGGTTCAATACCCACATAGCAGCTGTGGAATTTGAATTGAATTGACATTTTGGAATTATATAAAGCTAGTCTCATCAATGGAGACCATGACAACTGTTATCAAATGTTGTAAAAACCCATCTGGTTCACTAATGTCTCTTAGAGAAGAAAGTCTGTTGGCCTAAGTTTGACTTGGAGACAATACTCTAGACCCACAGCAATTTGATTGAATCTGAACTGTCTGCTGAACTAACCTGCCACGACATTGGGTAGGCCAATAAATGTTGCCTTCGTCAGTGACATCTACATCCCAGCAAATATTTTTTTGTTTTAAATTAACCATAGTAAAGGTATTGGCTCTGAAAAAAAAAAGCAGAACTCAGGATAGTTCAATTAGCAGGCACT